AAAAAAAAAAAAAAAAATGAAAGGTAGGGACATTTTTCGCAATAACGGTAAAATATATGGACATTATATACTAATTACCCTTTTAATAATTTATTTGAGATTCGTTTGCATTTTATATAAAAAAAAAATTTTGGGAGTATGGTTGCAATTAATTTTTTCTTTTTTCCTTTTGTTTTATTTAAAGGGAAGGGTATATTCTTCATTTTACAATTTTTAATTGAGAAAATAAATGAAAATGACCTTCTGCACAATGAAAGGTGGAAATAATTGTGAAAATGTCAAAAAAATGAAAGGTATAGACTTTTTCACAATAACAATAAAAGATGGGGATGCTATGTGCTAATTACCCTTTTATCAAATTATCACAATGACCTTCATGAAAAATATATTTGACTATAAATTTCAAGACACTGACCTAAATTGTAGACACCATTTGGTTCACAATGTTGTTGTGAGGGGCGCGCGACAACTTTGCAAATATTTGTATCTATAGTTTCGTCCATGAATATGGAGTGATAGTAGTTAACATCCAATTTGCTTCATTTTAGAAGTTGAGACAAGCTTGTACACTTTTATCTATTAATTTGATTAGTCGTGCTAAAAAATTACTTTTTTGAAAAAGTAATGCTGCTCGCCTCGGTTGCTAGTCGAGCTTGTGGGCGAGTGACTCGCTCCACTTAATACTCCTGTGTGACACTCAATAATTTTTAGTGTGTGTTTTGTCTCCCATTATTGTAGAAGAAATAGAGTAATGAATAGTATTTTTTGAAAAATGTATTGTTGAGATTTAAAGCAATTTTATTGATTTGTATGTAGAATATTTTATTGGGTGAATGTGTAATAGAGAATCTTACTTTAATAAGCAATATTTTAGAATAATGGGAGACAAACGGAGCCTTAATCTTAAAGCCACAAAAAGTTATGTACCAAAGTATTAGTATGAGCACACCCAAACACGTGTCAAGATCCAAAGAGCAACTTAAGCCCATGGCATACACATCTGTCCAAAAGCCCAATACAAGGACATTCGTACATTTCGATCCAGTGGGCTATTCTTCCAAAGGGAATAGTATAAGCCCAACTCGGAACAACAGTGTAGCCCAATACGATGCCCACAACCGGACATTTTAGGGCTCGATTATCATCTAATCCCTCTTTACCAAATTCCAGAAACTGAAATACCTGAAAAATAAAAGAATATCACTTCTTGAAATTAGCGGAAAAAAAAAAGTGAAAAAAAGCAAATCGATGGAGGGAGGAGATGAAGGAATTGAAAGAGTGGAGGACTCCAAGGACCTGCAGCAGCAGAGCAAAGCCCTCGACAAGCTTACTGACCGGGTCGAGGATCGCCAGCTCGATTCGACCCGAGTGCAAGAGGTCAATTTTTATGATATATTTTTATATGTATGCATATAATTTGGGTAAATTGGTGATTTTGATTTTGATTTTTTCCTGGTGTAGGCTATGGCTTCAATTGCTGCTTCAAAAGAAGCTGACATTCAAGCTGCCAGAATGAGGTTTGTGATTATTATTTTATTTGTTGCAGTGTTGAGTCATTGATTGATGCCATGCATGGGTAGTAGATAAATGCATATTGTTTACTTTTTCAAATAGTAGAAGTGATTCAATTTTGTATTTGGGGGCTTTTTGACATTATATTAGTGTTGTTGTGGTGGAAATTTACACTCTTTCTATTAGTTCAAATGATGATCATATAAATTCAATATTACGGTTTAAGGTTTAGGCGTCTTGATTCCGAAATCCCTTGGGCGAAAGAAGTGGCTCTTATTCTTGCCTAAGGCTTGGAACTGAATTGCATGTTATGTTGTAGCCTATATGCCAGAGCAGTATGAGCAACTGTTTTTGTATTAGTCAAGATAAAAGGGGAAAGGGAACCCATTTTTAATGTTTGGAAAATCAGCTCTAGTCCAACTCAGTGTTCTATCAATCACTAGTCGAATGCTCCGTTGATCCATGACAAATTTGTATCTAATTCAAATGGATAATAGGAAAAAGTACAGTGGATCTACCGTTCTAGTGAGGGTCAGGTGTGGGCAAGGAGTTGATTATCAAGATAATCCAATAGGTCATAGCCAATGAGAACAGAGTGAAACTGTGCATGGCATAATGGATAGTTAATTGGTGTAAATTTCCTGGGGAAGTCGAGCTTCTACATTAGTGGAGATGCTTTTAGGAGTGCTGAAGGATAGGAGTTGGTGTTGGAATGCTGATGACTGATCTAATATTTCTCCAGGATATGCTTCAATTGTCATGACAAAATTAGATCTAGGTTGCCCGTAGTGGAAAGCTTCTGATACCAAAGATAAGAAGGATGAATAAATGGCTTCTTTATTACACATAAATGTAACTTTATTACACATAAATGTAACTATACAAGTTACAGAAGAACACTGTACAAAATGAAAGAATAACATGTTCATTGTATATATACAAGTCGTAGAAGAATAATCTACAATATAAAAAATAATAAGCTGACAAACTACCAGAATTTAAGGTATAGAATACGTAAACGGTATTACAATCAGTTAAAGGAGTTGACCATGGAACTTGGCATGAGTTAGTGGTTTAATTGAGTCACGAGTTGGAGTAGAGTTGACTTACCTTGATACATTTTTAGGAGATGATGAGTGTATGCATATTAGATGTAATTCTAAGAGAGAACCTCGTGGTTAAATTCTTGAGCTCTAGCATTTTCTTCCATGTCTTTGCATGTTGAAATGTTGTTTATTACGTCTAAACTATATGGTGCTCATAATCGAAAAGGATACAACTAAAATGAATCATTTATATGTCTTCATGTGGCATTTCGCTAATTATATTATTTTTCTAGTTGTTGCTGCTGTGGTAAAAACTTGCTTCTCACAAACATGCATGACAAATTTTAATGGCTCGACAAACTTGACATAACTTTCTTTGATCTAGAATTGGCATGGTACCTTGTGGATTTAGGAACATATCTTATTTACTGAGGAGGAATGTTAGTTCCAAAACTATGTGATAAGAGTACCTTTTGATAATATAAAGTTACCCTGCAAATATTTGAACTGTGATGCTTTCGTTTGCTAATTAATTCTATTCTAAATAACATTCTCAGCCCAACTTAACGAAACCCTATTCCATACTTACTAGTTACTATATGGTCAGTGACGTGGATCCTCCTCTTCTTGTTTCAAACAATGTGTGAACATGTTTGGTACTTGTGCATACATTGCATTTTCATTATTTTTACTATTTGATTAATTTTATCACAGGGAGAAAGAATTAGCCGCTGTTAAGATTAATGCAGCTGATGTGGATGTCATTGCAAATGAACTTGAGGTTAGTTTNTTATGTTTGAACCAAGTTAGAAAGCAACCACAGCCAAAAGAAACAAGTGATTGTTAAATTTTTTTTTTTTTTTTGATAACCGTGGATGTCCGGGCCAGCTTGCGCGCACCTCGACTAATTCCACAGGGCCCTAAAGTTTACGGTCGGGTACTCACCTCAGTGGCCCTGTGGGGACTCGAACTGGTGACCATTGGGGAGCAAACTTGAGGCCTGACCAATTAAGCAACTTCTTTCCATGAATATTTCAGCCTTTTGAAATACTTTCTATTATCTTGTAAACAGCTTGACAAGAAGGTGGCTGAAAGAACGTTGCGCGAGCACAAAGGTGATGCTGTTGCTGCCATTAGATCCCTGCTTTACTGATGGGAAAAAAAATAAATCCATGCTTCGAGATTTCAAATTTCAGGCAGAAATGTCATACGTTCACAAGTTTATTTCGTTGTAGTGGAGTGAAACTTACTCTTTGCTTGTAACGATCTTCTTCCATGCAATTCCCCCAATATTTGACAAGTTCAATCCAAAAGTGAAAAACATTTTTGGCTGTAACTATTATTTTTAAATGATTTGTATCCTTGTAAAATTGTTTTTCGACATCTCCCCCATTAGACTGATTTTGTTTTGATTCTAAAAGGGTAAGCTATGCGTGGTAGATAGTTTTTGAATATTGTATATTTTTTATTTTCCCCTTGTGAAATAGTAAGTATACAAAATCTTTAGGAAAAAAAATAAATTATGCCCTTAAAATTCTCGAAATAATTTTTTTATTATTGAAAGGGATTTATGTTGCCACTAGTAAATTCTGGATCTGCTCCAGCAAATGTTACATATGTACGTAAGATTAAACATTAAGGAAAATAATGTATTTTTATTATTTAAACATAGTTCAATAATGCACTTTTCACAAACCATAAGTCCGTACAATTATGCTTCAAACAAAATGAAGTTAAAGAATGAGGTTAGGATCTTATCTATTTTATTAATTTCGAAGTCGAAATTGGCAAGATAAAATTAGGGTTGTCCATGGGTCGGGTCGGTTCGGTTCTCTATTTTATTAATTTTGAAGTTGAAATTGGCAAGATAAAATTAGGGCTGTCTGTGGATCGGATCGGTTCGGTTCGTTCGGTTATGAAGAGAATCGAACCGACCCAAAACTTTCGGGTATTTAATAAATGGAACCATCGGGTCCAAATATAATTATGGAACCGTTCGGGTTCGGTTCGGTTCGGTTTCGTACCATAATTAAATTTTTTAATATTTACATCAATACTACATAAATACAACTAATGACACTTCACTTGTAACTTTTATAAATTACACATATAAATAACTAGCAGTCCAATACGATTAATTCAATGCATACAAATACCAAAAATTAGATATTAATATAACAGCAACACTATATAAGGTAAATTCATTTGCTTCAAGCAGCCTACCTGTATAAAGAAAATGAAATATAAATTAAAAGTTATAAAAATAAAATATTTTGAAATATTGGTAATACTTACCAACTATTTGATTTAATCATCAATTGTTTGACTTGTCATGGTAAGAAACTCTACAAGCATAATTGAAAATGTACAATTAACAAACACAAATAAACTAAAAATTATTCAACTAATAACATTTAATTAAAAAATATAATATATATTTATTATATTTCTCAATGCCCTCGTAGAACTCTGTTTCTTTAATGCAAATTCCATCTTGGGAAACTTTCAAGAGTCTAAAATATATATTTAATTAATTTGTTAATTTGTTTAGAAAAAAATAAAATAATTTAATTCATTCAATATAAAAAAAAAAATTATTTAGTTTTGGTTCTTCGGTTCTTGATCTAGACCCGAGACTCGACCCAAACTCATCGGTTCTCGATTCGGATACCAATTCGGATATTTAACTTATGAAGAACCGCTCGATTCGGTTCGAGTTCAATTCGAAACTTTTGGACACCTCTAGATAAAATCTTCTTTTTTTTTTGTTCTTTCAGTGACTACGAACATTTTCAATCATTGCAATGAGACGTATCTATTTTATCTCTATCTTGACTCGAAATTGGAGCAGGCTTGATAAAGGATCTTTGTCTAGATTTGTGTCAGAAAGGTCTCGTAACACCATTTTTCTTCTCATTGAAGTTATTTAACAGCTGCACAGCTCGTGGAAACCTCGTGAACCAGGGGAAAATCATGTCACTATCCTTCACTACTTTCCATTCAACTATAACAAATCCAGAGACCACAAATTATATCAATAACATGTATGCACTCAGCACAACAGAATGGACAATAAATACTGTGGCAGTATACATGAGAATTCATGAATTTGATGCACCACCAAAATAATTTCATGATGTCTGTTAATTACAAACATTGTCCGTTCATCTATGATACACTCTTCAATCCATCAATTGCCTTGAGAGTTCAAAACAAGCCGCGAGCAAACCGTTGTCTTGCCACCAACTCAATAGACCTTTGGGAAAATGTTAGTCTATCTTCTGTACACAATACAAGCACAGCTCGAGGTCAAAAATATATACAGTTTCTACGGCTACGGTTCTTTTTGGATGCCATCACCAACAATGGCACGACCAGCATGGAATTGAATGGCACACTGTCTCTGCATATCTTTAAGCCTTTCTACTAGCTCTTGGAATGTTGGACGGCGCTGTGGTTCGCTGAGATCAACAAAATAGATAATTTGCAAAATGAAGTGGAAATTGTGTAATACCATCCATAACGTTAACTTATATATGTGGGGTATGCTTCCCATAAAGGCTTTGCAAAACAAAGAAGGATTTCATTGGGTGTGTGTAAAAGTCTCTCTCGATTAAATTTCAATGAAAAAAATAAAAAATCTTTTCGTTTGCTCATTTGTACTTCTGGATGCAAGGTGGTCATGTCCCCTGAATTCTACTAAATATTTTACGAATTAATGAGTTTAGGATACGGGGCAAACCCTGGCCTAGACATGGGGTGCATTCCATACTAAACAAAAGAACATTCTTTATGTCAAGAACTTCAACCACTACAAAGAGAAATTGAAGCAAATGACCATAACCAACTATAGACACCAAGAATTTGAACTCCAAACATCTCTACCAGTGTTGAAAACTCAGTTATGTCATGGAACTACATTGAATCTACTAATCCAAATTCTTGATTTCGTAGATCACAAAAAGCCACTGAATTTGATACGTCATAAATCATTTAGGAAGGAATTCAATCCTAAAAAGGTGATACGGAAATTACTGAAAGTCGTCCACTCTGCAAAAACAAATCCATTGGATAGCAAGCATGAATAAGACACAAACCTATGCCAGCAGCTCTCGATTATAGAAGCCCATTGTGGATCAACATCCTTTGGTATATCGAGGCGTTGGTTCATGAAACCCACAGCTCCAATCACCTGCAAAATTCAGAGAGAAAATTGGTCATTGACACAAAAGACATTCTTGCTAGTTGTGAAGAGCTGCAAATACCCCACCCAGACTTTACTTTCTCTTCCTTCACAAGCAGATTTGTTGCACTTAGTTCAACTTCTTCCGGTGCCAATTCGATAAGATTTCTAAATTAATTTTCAGAAGTACTAGTTATACCTGCATTGAGTTGAGGTTATCCCAAGGAATCTTTTGGGTAGCAATTTCCCAAAGTATCACTCCATAGCTGTAGACGTCAGACCTGATCATTCCAAAGAAGAAGCAAAGCTTAGAACCAAAGATCATCTCTATTTATAAGTAACGTAGTTGAAACCAGATTTAGTCCCTGTTTGGTTCAGCTATAAAAGTAGATTAAAATTTAAGTTAAAGTCAACATTTAATTTTAATTACACATTTCATAGGCTCCACAACTTTTCAACCAAACGTTCCATCAACTTTTATCAAAATCCACTTAAAAATATGATTTATCTAAACCAAACAGGCGCTTAATCTCACTATTCCCTTAGACATACTTCTCGTCCGAGGGTTCATTACGAAGAACTTCTGGAGCCATCCACTGTGGCTGCATGACCAAAAATAAGTAGGTTCTCAATCAGCTATGAATTTGAAGCTTTTCATAAAGCAAGAGAGACATTTAGAATAGTTTATAGCAATATAACCAAAAGAAGAGTTTATAGTGCCAGTTAAATACCGTTCCTTTCCCCGTCTTTGTCGTCAAATACGTTTCATGTTTAAGACGTGAGAGACCAAAGTCTCCAACCTGTTGAAACCACAAGTTAGCGTTGAACTTATAATAGTTTAAAAAGCACATGAATCAAGAGAAAGCTCACCTTAACAGCCCAGTTCTTGTCAACAAGAAGATTTGAAGACTTCAAATCACGATGAACAATAGGGGGATTGAAATGATGAAGATAATTCACACCTCGTGCCTGTAAAAATATAAACAATTCCTAATAAAAACAATGAGAACTCTTTTTTTAGAATTCCTTAATATCTCCAGAAAATTCTGGAAAGAACCAACCAAGGGCTAAAGAAAGAGATGAATGAAACATGAGATTATAACATGTCCACTCTCTCTACACCAAAAACAAGGTATTGTTAGTGCAAGAAATTCATTCCAGAAATATATCTATGGTTTTAAGGTACTTACTATATCCAAAGCCATGTTAATACGCCGTCTCCAATCTATTTTCGATGTATTTCTTTGTAATAACCGGAACAGACTTCCACTGTTTCGAGCAAAAGGTGGAAACAGATTATTAGGACACACAGCTAAATTGTTAATGGATGAACACTGAATCTTGACATACAAGGTTGACATAAAGAACACGTGAGATTGCATTAAGGGACAAAAATGAACGAGAAAAAAGGAAGAATAGCACAAGTAGAGAATATACCGTGGAAGGAATTCTGTTACAATGCAAAGACGTTGGGGAGAAGTAACTGCACCCATGAAGAGCAGAATATTTGGATGTCGAAGTCTTTTCATAAGTGACACCTTCAAAACCAAAGAACTCTTCAGGACATGCCTACCCACATGATTTTCTTATTTGGTATTAATAACAATGAAATGCATAACAGACCAAAAGAAAATGTACATTCGGTGTGTCTAAGTGGGGGATGAGTGGATATTACTTTGTGGGAACTCGAAATGTATAGATAAAATGTGACTTGAGTGTTTATAATCAGTTTATAAACATGAGCCAAACATAGGCTCAATATTGTCTAATACAGTCAAATCTACCAAAAACATGGTATGCAGTTAAACGAAACACAAAATTTCTGCCATGACACCAATTCATTGCCGGACAATATGTATCACATGACTAGAACCTACTATATTGAAAATGAGTATATTAAGCAAGCCATAGTGTGCAGCTTTTTGCAACATGACTTGAAAGCTTATCAATCCAAATGGAAGATCGAATCTAATAGCATAGAGGAAAAAATGAATAATATGCTAATGAGAATATATACCTCCTGTCTGAAGGAAAATATCACGTCATCAGAATATTCTTGTCTGGAAAATACCTTGACAGCAACATCCTGCATAAGATGGTCATTTATTCAATTAGAAGACGAGACATATTTTCTGATTTTATCTAAAAAAAAAAAAAAATTTAGAAGTAAACAAGATGAATAATCACACAATGCATTATATACAATGTACATGCATAAGTACATTCCTTGGCTGGAACAACTTTCTAGTTTTAGATTTATAAACATGTGCCACAAGAATAATAGATCACATTTGGCTCTGTTTGGGTTGCAAAGACGCCTATTTACTAATTATTAGGATGGATATTATTAGTAAGATAGAAATCCCATATCATACACAATATTTTGTGCATGGATTGCTTTCATGCATGCTTTTGGATACAAAATTACCAAAAGGAGGAGCCAAAGAACGTACTGATCCATACCACAGAGCATGATATACTGTTCCACAAGAACCTGCAAAGACATGTTAAAGAAAGGTGAAAGAGGTATATGGAAATTCAAGGCTAAGGGGAATGAAAGGCCAAAATAATAGATCAAAAACTCAAGAAAATAATTATGTCCATGTCAAGTTCCTTCACGAACTCTATTACACGAATTAGCAGCAGCATCCAGTGCAACTCTGATATCACATAATACCTCACATGATGTATAAATAGGCAAAGCATTACAGACTACATATAGCTGGAATATATGTACGCCTCCCCCAACATCATGGCATCGACGAGCATCAACAGAGGAAGTGTCCAACAACTGAAAAAACTAAAGTTCAAAATTAATCACTGTCAAACATGGAATGCACTTACCTTGTCCAATCTGTTCTCCAATTGTCAAGTCCTCCCACAGGATTTCATAATCAAAGCAGTCGATATCCAGATCAACTTTATTAATAGCACTACTGCTTGTACTTCCATAACTACTAGCACTACTAGTGCTATTAACATTGATTGATGAGGACCACGACCCAGGAGCATCATTATTAGCCGTCTGATCATTTTCAGCAAGTGGATTTTCCGATTTTAAAGTGGCTCTGGGACTCTTTTGCTGACCCGATTCATTTTCTAGGTCATTGTTTAACCACGGCCATACAAAACGCGAAGTCTTTGCTTCTGTTCCGTCATCTTGTTCATTTCCTTTCCATGGCCACGCCAAACCTTTCTTACCAATCCAAGCCCCTGCTTTCGAAGTAATGATCTTAGAAATTCCAAGTTTCCCTTCACCTTCATCGCCAGATTCCCGGGACGGTACACCCGGAGAGTGTTCCTCATGGCTAGCACTGGAGAAGACTCCAAAAGGAGAAGGATGTATATCTCCTCGGGGTGTACTAGCTCCACTTGAGGCAGCATCCTCCCTGTGGTCAGAGAGAGCTGCATCTGAGAAACCGTGAATATGATCAGAGTGATGGCAGTCTCCACTTCCACCATCAAAATCTGAGCTATTCTCTCCGGGACTTATTTTTGACTTAACCTTGTTGCTCATTTTAGAAGCCTATTTCAAGATTTTCTTGAAGTCAGCATAAGCTACACAAATAATAATAGCATAAACAAGAAAACCAGAATACTTACGAAATTTGATATTTTCGAGGCTAATGCTACTTGTAGAGGCTGCTGAGGATCAGGGCCGAGTTTGGCTGAAGCAATGTTTCTTGGTCTGCTAAAGCTAGATTCAGTTTCCAAGCTTTTTACCCGAGACATTGCTGCTTTTGCTTCCTGAAAAGGTCTGGGATCACTTGATACACATATAATTCCCACCAAAGTGCCATCATCATGATAGAAAGGGGAGTTGGTCACATCAGCTACAAACCTATCCCCTCTCTTAGTTTTAACAGGAAACTGCCCAGTCCAACCTTCCCCCATTGCCACTCGATGCACTATGTCACTACCCACAGAAAAATCTCGAGTATCCATTAGTAGCTCAGTAACATCCTGCCCTAAAGCCTCTGCAGCTGAATATCCATAAAGATTTTCCGCACTTCTATTCCTGTGAAATAGAATCATATTGGCAAAGATTTGTATATATATGAATCTTACATTGAAATGGTAACATTACTCAATAACTTCCCAGCACTAATTAATTTCCAAGAAGCTCTCAAGTTTGTTCATCAATGTTTATGTAATGTGAACATTATTAAACACATTCAAATTGTTATAAATAATCCATTTTTGCATCCTTTTGAACTTGTAAAAAGCAGGCATTAAGGATGTTTGGGCAGCATGTCTCTGTTGAGAAATGCTAAAAAACTGATTTTAAGCACGGCTAAGAACCAACACAATCAATCAAACAAAGACACAAATGAAACTTTCCAAGTTCAGTTCTATTGACTCACCAGTAAATAATCCGATAATTGAGATCAAATATGTGCACTGATTGCTGCATTGACTGCAATATATTCAAGTACTGCCCATCGGTAAACTTAACCTCCGCCTGACCAACACCGTCACTCCCACGATCCATCTCCCTGCTATTACTCTCCCTCTGCAACGGCGATGATTGTTGGAATGGGGCCAAACCCCTCTTCCACACAGCCGCGCCACTTCCATCTCCTCCAGCGCCCCTCCTCCGTGGAGCCCGCTGCGGCGAAACAGAATGGGACCTCTGCCTTGGTCGACGATCGACAACACCTGGAGCAGCTGGTGTTGATGAAGTTATGAGCTTAGACATCTCTTTTTTCAAGTGGGCATGGCCTATTTCTAGTTCTTGGATCTTCTTCAGTAGCTCCTCAGCTGGCGGCGTCGGCTGACTTTCCGATGATTGCGTTCCACTATTTTCCATTGTAACAATTACAAAATTTGTTGACACCCCCCTTTAAAATCTATTCTTGAAAATCACAAAATCAATATATAATTGCAAAAAGATATCTTCAAAGCCCTTTCTCCCTATTTTTACACATCCAAGAAATGGATCTAGGAATACTAAAAATCACTGTTTTTCCATTTTCTTCATGATGAAGTCGATATTATATGCGAATATTAATTGTGAATCTTTGTTATCAATAGCAGCTAAACAAAGAAAAATAATGACCTTTTAGAGCAACGAACTAACCTTTCTCCCAGCATTTTTTTTAATCTTTTTTTCTCTCTCCCACTACCAATCGACCCAAGTTAAAAAAAAGTTAAAATAAATAAACAAATAATTACATGTTGGCAGCTGTCACAGCTGCCAGCGTAGCTGCCCGCGTAACAGCTGCCTGCGTTATGCGGACAGCTATGAAAAAAAAAAAAATCAAGTCGGACTGGCTCGGCTCGTAAAGGCCAAAGTCGAAAGTTCGAGTTTCGGTTTGTGGTTCGGCTCGACTCGACTCGACTAACACCCTACGTGGCGGTTCTTCTCTCTCGGCCAATAGTAAAATATATAGTTTCGACTGCCAAATTTAAAGACAACTCTCACAACTGTGAGTTGTGTACATGCAAAGAGAAAATTGCAGCATCAGTCCCTCAACTTATTGTTTAAGTAGCAAATTAGTTTTCAACTCTATAACAAACATAAATTGATCATTCTATTATAGTTGCATACTATCTAACAACATAAACCGACCAAATCTATAAGTTGTAGTGAATTCGCTCTAGATTTGATAGTTATTTTTTCTTAAACTCATTTTCAATCACACATTTTATCAATAAAACAATTTTCCACATGGACTCTTGATTTTTCCTTAACCACATTCTCACAAAATATCACTTTTTCACAAAATATATTCTTAAAAAATTACATCAAACATGTTGATTTGAATTTTTTTTTTCATAATTTAATTTGCCCTAACCGAAATCAGCTCCTAACTTCTTCATTATGCTTGATAGTATAAATTGACAAAATCCACACTAAAGTTCATTTAATTGAAAAATCGACCAAAAGGACTAGTCTGAATGGTAAATTTGGAAATCGTATTAATTTATAACCTAAGAAGTTAAAAAATCAACATGAAACCCAGTGAATTAATCCTTCAACTGGGACCAATTGACCTAACCACAATTAGCTTCTTTACTGTGCTTTTACAAATTCATTTTATTTTATTATTTTTAACCTTTGATCCGTCTCTGCCCTCTGGTTACTCCTTTCTCGATTTAATGTCCAAGGAGTTTAAAATATTTTTATTTTTTACATATCCAAATAAAGCCTGGTTTAAGTTTTGTTTTCTAAATTGAACTTATGCCCAAAAATATCATGTATCAAAAACATTTGAACAGTACTTGCTACAAGAAGATAAGTTGGAGGGCCAGTGGTGCAATTTCACAAACGAGGATTTGTCATCTAATAATTAGGTTATCTACGTGGATGAGGAGAGCCACGATGAGTTGTGGTGCGTGGGAAACCTTATTGCCCCTGCTGGGGCTTCATTATTTCAATTTATAATGCGAAGAATAGTATTTTTTTTTACTTTTTTTTAGTTTTGAAAGATGTGTGGTTAAAAAAGAAGAATTTTTTTTAAAATTTACGTGTAATATTATTTTATTAAAAATAAAAAAAAATACATTTAATTTAATGGGGCCAGGCCATTGTCTTTTTTTTGTTTTTCTTATTCAATTGCAAGGCAAAAAAGACTAATAGGATATTTGGTGGGGATTAAAATTAGATTTTTAGTTAATTGTGATAAAAAAATTTGAAATGTGTGGTTGAAAAGATGTGGGACCCATAAAAGATGTGGTTAATATTGATTGTTTGACTTTGATTTATATTAAAATCAGATTTTATTCCGGCCCAAACAGTTCATAATTCCACTCCACTATCTAATTTCCCTATTCCTTCTCTTTTATTTTTTAATGACAAATTTGACTATTATAAAATATTATTTCTGTCCCATGAAGATTCACTTTTACACAAATTACGAAAATATAATTAATATACTAAAAATATATAAAGTTTACTCACACTTTTTACAGAGTTATATTTTCCATCACTATTGATATTAATCACTAATTTATGTAGCAATTAATATTAAATGATATATTCATTTAAATGCAAAGTTATATGATTCATTTAATTGAACATATAAACTGTAGTAACTTAAATTGTTGTTTTAATACCATTGGTACTAAATTACATTATTCTCATTATAATATGCTCATACATTAAATAATGATTTAAATAAGGTAGTTCATATTTGTCAATAACAAGACACATTAAATAAAAACATATTAAAAAATAAGAATTAATTATTGGTTTCAACAAGAAAAGTGACATATAATTTGATACATACGAAAAGGTAAAGTAATCTTATCTTTATGGGATGAGAGTATATTAATATGCAGTGTTTTAAAAAGTGTAAAGTGTTGTTAGGCATAGATGTCAAGTTTCAAGTTTTACGAATCTAGACAAGGTCTATGCGTAAAAAAACGTATTTTTATGTTTAATATTATTTTAAATTTTTAATCATTATAAGAAAGAGTTTAATAATTAAAATAATACATACAAAACATCTAAAATTATAAAATACTATATTTACTTAATAATTTCATAATGAGCTTAGTATACAATTTTTAAGTTACACTTTTTAAATTTTCGAAATACAAAAATTAGACTATTTTTTATAGTTTCAATTTTTAAGTTTTCATTTTTGACATTTATACAGATAAAATCATTTAAAAATTTGAAACTAATGTTAAATAAAATGCTTTTGAAAAAGGAAAAAAAATAAGAAGAAAATTTAATAAAGCGAGCCGAGGCGCGATCAACTTGACAATTAACCACTTAATTCGCTCTCACTGTCAAGACAAGACGTTTCACCCGTTCCTTTTTAGAACACCGTTGATATGTAATAAAGGTGTGGGTGACCTTCGTGCATTATTTGCTTGTTACTTTAACAGCCCATATGTTTACCTGATAAATTATTATTTATTCCAATTTCGTAAAAAATATCATATTCAATTGTACTAATGCATGATTAAGAGACTCAACTTGCTAATAGTTTAAGTCAACAAGAATCATTCTTTAAGTTTGGATTTCTTTTAAAATTAACATTAAACTAATACAATATGTCATATGTGAATAAAAATAATAGTAGCAGTTAGTTTTAAGGGAGAGGGAGGTAAAAGTGTAAAGTGAATCGATTTCTTGTTTAGTACAGAGTTATACCGTGAAGTGGTTTATATAAAAACTAGTCCAGATGTGTATGGTTCGATCTCTGGACTTTGGATTTCTGAAAAGATAAGGTACGATAGATTGGTGGCGTCGGTAAGTTGAGTTTTTTCTTTGGTTTACAGCAGATGATTAATGGATTGGTCTTGGGTTTGTGTTGATTTTTTATGTGTTAATACCGACTACTGTAAAATGCTGCCAATTTTTTATTTGGTTTTGTATCGAAAATTCAATGCGGAAATTATTATGATGCAATGAATTGTGAGATGTTGTGATTAGTCAATATGCATTTATTATTTTTAATTTTATAATTCTTAAATTGCTGATCTGAAGTGCTTTTCTAAACATAATTAGATAAAAAAATCACGCGACAATTTTTTGCACTATATGTGACAAGGTGTGTGCTTCAATCACAATGAACTTGTTTATATTAAATATGACTATTGGTGACATGTAATGAATTATTTGTAACTTTTGTTTTCAATGTTGTGACCAGTTAGTGTGATAACATTTTCAATTTTTTTTTTTACTTGTATCGATATTATAATCACCCTTAACATTCAAAATAAATAAAATTAAACTTTGTCGATTACATGTTTGGAGTTATTTATAATCAATTTAATATAAATAGATAGAAATAATGGTGGATAACTGGTTAGTAGTTGCAAGTCCACAAAGTATATTGACAAAAAGTTATTTAACCGGTTATAAATATAATAAACATGTAATTGTAAGCATGATGGGATTACTCGATAAGACCTAAGAAAAGTGTCACATAAACATAATGTGAACATGGACTCACCAAGTATAAAATGTTTTATAAGTTGTAATTTAATTAATTTCTAATTGTGAATTATCATTGTACCTTTAAATCCCTAATTATAACATATAAAAATTCTCAATAAAATAAATACAAGTTTTGATTTTCCTTTTTCTTCTTGCACTCTCTAGTTTCTAATATATTATTAGCACGATTATTCTTTTTAAGAGTTTTCGTTCTTTTTAAGATTGTATAAAACATCACTCTTTTTTTTTTTTTTTCATTCAAGATCTGTGAACTGCAATACTTGTAGTTTTATAGATATGTCAAATATAAAGCCATTTAAAGATTTGTGAATTCCTCGAAGTTTTAAGATTTTTCGAATCTAAAATTCAAGTAATTTTATTTTTATAAATATTTTATTGTATATTTTAATGTTGAATATATATAGTGATCCATAAAGTTTAATTTGTTAAATTTTTTTATTTAAAGAAGTATAAAATTTTAAATATCAATAATCTTCGCAATTCGTTATTTTCAAGTAATTACAATTTTATATAAATTAATATTCTAGAAAAATATTGGATCGTTGCTATTATAGAGAAACTTTATAGATTAATATTTATCATAATATTATATTATTTCTTTTGGAGAAGCATAATTTTATATATCAATATCCATAAAAATATTATATTATAACCCTTAAAAAGGTATTAGTTTTAAATCAATATTTCTTTAAAATATTGGGTTCTTGCTCCTTGAAAAAGCACAAATTTACAAAAAATCAATATTCTAGAAAAATATTCTATTGATGTTCTCCAAGAATGACTTTATGAGTAACTTTGTAAAAAAAAAAAACTATTTTAATGTTTATGAAGAAGCAACAATTTATATTATAATATAAAGAAAATATTACATTATTGCTCTTGAAAAAATATAA